ACTGAGCATCTCCTGCCAGATGCTCACAGCCCCCAATAAACATTTCCATTACGGGAGATGATGTCAAGGGAGCCACCAGTTCCTCTGGTCCAAGGCAGTTGTTATTTAGATTGGAATTCCACGGTGTTTGGGTGCTTATTTGAAATTCGCTGTTCTCCTATCAAAACTCTGGAGAGCTTGGTCGTTTTTCTACATGCTTTATTTCAGGACTACTGAGTTACTTTTAATGAAGTCTGTTCAGTAATAATACTAAAGCTGTTTAGCAAAAAACCAGTGCTCTACCAATCCAACCAAGCATTACACGGCACCTTTTGTAGGTGGGAACCATGACAGCAAGATGAAGTGATTGCCCCAGCCACTACAAGAGTGGTAAGACATACAGGATTGCACAAGAATGCAGGAAACAAGATAAACCTGGGACCTGGATGAGCCCTGGATAAAACTGACTTGTGGTCCAATTCCAAACGGGCATTTGCATAGCCCTGTTTTGTGTCTGCAGCTGGAAGTTTACCTTGCAAAGCACTTCATTTGCTCCTTACTCCCTTTTCTGTCTTGATGATAAAATCTTTCGCGCATTTGGAAACCGTACGTTTCTTACTAATTTTTTGTAGCAAATTAGTCAACCTACAGCTCTTGTAAGTCATAAAGATGAACACCCAGAATTCACAGATCAATACTGTAGCAAAGTTTTTTGAGTCACATGAACATGTTTTGCTTTTTGAGATGTACACCAGCACAGTAAGAGAGCTTGGGTGCATATACAGAAGATACACACAATGAGCAAGAATTTGCACTGCCCTATTTTGAAGCTGGATATGGTCTCTAAACACTTGTTTATGCTGATGAAAGGCATTTCCAGCAGTAACACTGAGATGCTCTGAACTTTGAGATGCTAATGGTTAAAATCTGTCATGAAGCCAATAAATATAATAAAGAAACAGAAAACCTATTACAAAGAAGTTATAAAGGCTATTTCAGTATTGCTGATTGCCCAGAACATGGGAAAATGGGAAAAAATAAGAATATGCAGCACCCCACACTTAAAACCAAAGCCCAAAGAGGCAAGAAAATATTAGGGAAATAAAAATTGATACCCTCTGAATGATCACAGATGGCTTTTGCATGTCCCTATTCACCAGCTGTTTCTATTACTCTTTTATGCAAAGGCATTGGAAGAAAACAGATCATGATTTAATGGAAAGAGTATTGGGCTGAAACAAAGGCACAAATCTGAGATATTTTCTTCCATGGATTTATCCCACCAAAGGGCCGTCCTGCCCAGGGATTACCTAAGTAGAGAGTCTGAGTATAAGGCTCCTGGATGGAGCCATACATGGATGAGAGACAAGGCCAGCTGCTCCCACAGACAGCGATACTCACTCTTGACCCAAAAGGGACTGTCCTTTCATGGCCTCGCTGGGCTTAATGGATTTTGTGATACCAGTTACAAGAACACATGGACAGCTATTCTGGTTCAGATCAAAGACCAAAACCATCCAGTGCTCTGTCTCCATCAGCAGCCACACACAGATATGCAGGAGTGTAACAGCGGGCCAAGCATACAGAACACTTCCTTCCAACACTGCCTCACTCTCTCACCACTTTCAGGTCAGAGATTTCCCGAGCCTGCTGCGGTTTCTGTTTAGCAAACCCCATGAAGATTTCTCTTCCAGGGAGCTGTCCAGCCTCCCTGCGAGTAAGGAGTACTCAGGGGAAGACGAGCATCTGCAAGCTCCTCTCATTCAGAACCTGCTTCAGCGAGGAGTTCCGCTGGTCTTACATCACATGAAGACACAACTTGCAATATTTTTTTGGCACATGGCTTCCACTAGTTTCATATCATGGCCTCTAGTTCTTTCATGGGGAAGAAAAAATGAACAATCAATCCGTAGCTACTTGTTCTATGCCAGTCATGAGTCTGTAGACCTGGTATTGTCTCAGCAGTTATACCAGAGAGGATTTAACGTCCTGAAACGTTAAGGTAGAAGGCTGATATGTTGCACTAAATTTGGCCAACTGGACAGTGGATTTTAGAAGTATTACATTAGCTTTTGGGATAGATTTCATTCATTTACACACTTATTCAGGTAGGGGAGGGAAGCTATTTTCCTGCTTCAGAGTATGTCAGAAGAAATAAGCACAGCCAGTCTTAGGAAGAAAAAATGGAAGTGAATGGAGGGATATCCGGGGGAAGGGAGATTATAAGGTGCACAAGTGTGACGCAGAAACACATCTGCCTAAATCAGGTACATACCAGGCTCACATACACACACACACAGATGCATGGGCAACACGACATCTACAAACACTGTTGTGAGCTGGAGGAAATGAGAAAGAGGAAAGTGTGTTCTGAAACCCAGGCAAGCCGGCTTAGTGGGCTGGCATGCTGCATAACAGATCAAAGAGGGGCAGGAGAGAGAATGACTATCAGTGCCGTATGCTTATTAGGTCTTGGTGTTCTGCTTTACACTGTGTTCATTGGATCTTCCCCTTCTGCAGGTCTCACTCTACATGCATGCACCTTTCACAGATGGTTTTCATCATCCCACCTGTAATGGCATCTGAACTAAAAGGCAGGGGAGACAACCGCACCAAGGGTATGTCTGCGCACAATGAGCTAGGAAAATCTCCAGTGCTGGGCCAGTATTGCTGGTCAGAGCCAGCAGTATTCTCAGAGCCACGGAGGAGGAGAGTCAAAGTGAGCAGTGGACTGCCTACAGAGTATCCTCAAACCATGAATAGGAGTCCGACCACCACAATTCCTGCGAGGTGTTCAGGGCTGGGAATATGGGAGAAGAAGAGAAACAGAGAAGAATTTGCCTTGTTTCTAGTAAGAAATGCTGAGGAATTCCGTGGCAATTTCCAGGAAGCTCTTGCACACATCTTCCCAACCACAGCCACCCAGCTAAGCAAGGTGCTGAATGTGAACTCTTGCTGTCCCTTTATCCCTTTATTTCCCCTTACTCACTGGCCGGGGATGTGAACCACAGGGCCTCCCTACTTCGATGCACAGGTTGTCTCTTCTTGGTAAAAATCTTTCCCCCCTCCCCTTCCTTTTCTCTATTCCTTGTGCTCTGCTCCAACCTAAATTTTTCAGGTTGAATTACCTCTCTCTTTTTCAAGAGACTTGCATATTCCTGATCAGGTCAGGTGATATGATACAGGATAGTTTGGCACCCTGTCTCTCGTGAGCTGTCTTGCCTAGATAACTCCCTGGCTGAGGGAATTCTCATTTTCAAGTTTCAAGAGACCATTCATTTTGGTTTTGCTCCATGTGGAGTTATCCGTTCCACTCTGGCGTTAAAGATCAGGCTGGGTTTTTCCTGCTAGAACGACATGCTCTCATGTAGCTTTAGGCAGTAGGAAGAGATTGTGTGTCTATATGATTTCTCCATTCCAGAACCAGAGCAAAACTGTAAGTCAGATACATTTCTCACAGCACAGTTTGCCCTAAACATCTCCCTGAGCCTTAGTCAGATGAACGGTTTTTATCCCTGCTATAACATGACTTTCTTAGGGAGATACCCTGCTTCACATGCAAGTCTGCAACAGCGTCCAAGTCTTTCTAGAGAGCCTCAGTAGCTAGCACATACTAGGGTGACGAAGTTAAGAGAGATCACCATGTTATTTACTTTTTTAACAGTTTTTTCCTCACCAGAAAGCAAGGGTACACTTATTTACCTAAGAAACAAGGTATAATTGAACATCGTTCACACAGCAGGGGTAATATGAACTAGACTCAAAGGATGCTTTTCTATCTAATTCCCCTCACTCCCACTTGGCCCCAGCATCTCCCAAGATGAAGGACTGGCAGAAAATTCTGGCTGCTTCCTTTGTTTGATTTAATTTCAAAAGTCCAGACAGCAAAAACCTTAATCAACCCTAGTTCTAGCATCCTCACCTTTACTGTTTCCTAACAGAATAACCCATGTGCTGGGCACCCTTGCAATCCAGTGTGCAGAAGGTCAGGCAGTGCTGGAGGGCAAAAGCAAAGTGGAAAATAGTATTTCCTGAACTGAGCATACTTCTCTGTCATGTAGTGAGCGTACACCCTTCTAGATGGAGTTATTTTATCTTCAGCTGTTAAAGCCACACTGTTCGACCAGAAGGATGTAACCCATATGTGCAATGAGCCAAGGACATCTGGGATTCAACTGCAGGATGCAATGCTGACTTCATTCCTCCACTTTTGTCTTGGCTGGTTCACACAGAAGTCAAGCACAGAATTTGGCTCTTATGTATAATATTTAGTTACTACCTTTTCATCATCGTACAATGGGAGAATTCTTCCCACTCCTCCTGCCTCTCTGTCTTCTTCCTGCAGCCTCTGCTCTCTGCCTTGCTATTTCTTCCCTGTATCTGTATATTCTTTCTGCTTCTCCCCATTTTTCCTCCCTCGAAGCACTCCCAATAGCTAAGCTTCCTTACATTTTCAATTTTCACCTTCTCCCTTTGTTCTGTCCTTTTAAAGGATAGAAGAGTTAAGACTGATATTTTTCTTGTGTGTGTGCCACCACTAGTGTTCAGAGTGAACATTTGGTACATAATTGTGGGATGAGGCCAGTTTCTGTATTAGGAATTCAGGCTGCCTGCAGATTTGGACTGATGTCACTGCACAGGGTCACACACGTAAGGCTTTCTTTATCACCATGAGGAACTGAAATTTACTTTAAAAATAGATAAAATATAGCTTCTGCAGAACCTTAGTATATGATTTGTGCTACCACAGTATTGGGCCAAGAATTTGACCCCACTACTGGAAACTATTAGCCACCTTCTGACCACCTGAAAATGCTGCTCTTAATGGCTAAGTTAAAAGTAGCTCTCAACTTTGTTCTGGGACCCTCTGAAGTTGGACATTTCTAAAGCATGCCTGAAGGTTTGAAAATCAGGTATCTTCTAGAGCGTGTCCCTATACTGGGAGACTTTGGAGCTGGAGAAAATCTGGAAGATCTACTGATGATGCAGCTTTTGATGGAGAAGTGGGCAAATGGCTCTTTGGGCGGGAGGAGGGCAGAAGCTGTTCAACTGGGGAATGCGCTGGGAGCACTGGAGTGGGAATGAGAGAGGGAGGAGTAGGGTAAGTGCGGGGAGTTACTGCTCTGTCTGAATGGAGCTCATTTCTTGCTGTAATCAGAGGGATGGCCTCCCTCGGCCTCCTGGTACTGAGAGGCACTTCACCTTCCTGTCCCTGCTGAAGCAAGGTGCTGAACAGTAGAAACTACTTACCTGATAACTGCTGCACTGAAGGCTGGTCATGTGTGCTTAACAACTGTGCCTGAATGGTTTCTACTACCCTCTTAAAACGACGGCTTGGACCTGTGAGGAGAGAAGAGGCACGAATGGCTGTGAGAGGAGCGGGAGCCGAATCCTCGTACAACCCAGGCTGGAGGGGAAGGACCACAAGCATCTTCCCTTCAGTCTTGTCCCCAAGAGTGTACTGACAGTGTATCTGTCCTCTGGCCGAAGGCACGGCTTTGAGGAACTATTAGGCAGTCCCACATTAATAGGGACTGTGGTGTGCTGGACTTAACAGGAGGAAGGATGGCTTCTGGGCTCCTTTTGTAAAGACAGAAAAGGTGGGTTTTCTTTTGTTTGTTTGTTTTAACCCCTGTGGGGGGCATGTGGCCACCCAGAAGAAAAGGGTGATTGCATGTTTCTGTCAGAAGGAAGAAACCAGTGGCCTCACAGTGCCCAGCTGAGACACGGAGACCTTTGAGTGAAACTAGGAGATACTTCAAATCTGATGCACAGAGCAGCCATTTTAGCACTAATCATGGTGGTGGCAACTTCACCTCTTTGGGAATCTCTTTTCCTCCCAGCATTTCCATCACTACCAACACCATTTTTGTTCCCGATGTCCTCCTTGCCCCCGTCTGAATTTTCCCCTGAGGTCAAGACAGCTATATTCTTTCCCCTGGCAGAGCTCTCTTTGCAGGCTTCTGTATCAGCAAGGACAAAGCCAGCTTGCACCCATTTTACAGCTTTGCCATGGTTACCTGATAAGAGTGTGAAAGTGACAGAATAGATCCCGTTCTCCTTCTGCGCCTCTCCCCCTTCTGTGTATGTTATGTCCACCTGGAACTTCACTGGCTTCTGGAAGACAGCAGGACCTCCTGTGGACTTATATTCTGCACGGAAACTTGTCTGTGAGATGACACTGTGACTGAGGCTTGGAATCTGAAACAGGTCGGTAGAAGGAGACAGTAGAACCACAACACAAAGGGAACAAAATTGCAAAATTCAAGTTAGAATAATACACATTTCCAAAGTGGGTAAGATTTGCTGGATTTGCTTCTGGACTTGCATTAGTAATACACAGAGTGTTCTTGTGAAATCAGTAAGAGTGTAGGTTGCTTGGCACCGCAGAAGAATGCACCGCTCCTTACAGGACTGACCTAAATTTAAAGGCTGAATATTGGTGGAATAGCCAGCATGCTTAATTTACACATGTTGCACAACTTCATACACTCAGTCTTTCTTTTCCTACTCATCTACCAGTTTTGAGAAATGCCTTTTGCTGACTGAAAACTGGTATTATGGGAGGGGGCAGAAAAGCCAGTGGGATGTAAGACTGGATATAAAAAGCCACCTGAGTAGCCTGGTCTGATCTCATAGCTGATCCTGTTTTGAGCAGGAGACCTCCTAAAGTCCTCAATTGTTTGGTGATTCCATGATATGAAATAGACATCAGGACACAGAGCAGACACTGAGACAAGTGCCTGGGATATCCACAGGGAAAGCATGCCTGCAAATAACTTACCCAAACCACAACTCCTATCAATATGTAAAAGAATTTTGAGAAGCTTTCTGGTATCATCCAATATCTGTATCTTCAGACCCGTGGTAGAATTTCATAACTGCCTAATTTTCAAGCAGTTACCATTCACAGTTCCTGCCAAAATTTAATATACGCACATTCTATTTATTGCTTCATAAAGGGCCAGATTTAAAAAAAAAAAAACAAAAACAAATCACTTGGAAATCTGGCCTCTCATTTAGGAGGAAAAATGAAGATGAGTTCTTTGAGAAGCTGACCTTAAGGACTTACTTAGCAGGCTGTGACAATGCATTTAAGTTTGAAGTTGGCTGTAAGAGACGATTCATAAAGTTGGCCCACAAATCACTACAACACACCTCAACCCACACATGTGGGGTATGCACAGGATCACCAATATAGACAGTAGTGCACACTACACAATATAAACCCACAAGCACAGCTAAATGCAGGAAACTGATAAAGTAACTGCTTCAAACCAATCTGAGATGGATACCAGTGTCTGATGCATGTTACTATACCGCACTTGCTCCTTGTATGCCTGTACAGTTAAAAGGATTATGGCTGGTTTTCTGGAAGAATTCATTGCAGCATCATAGAAACTAAAGAGAAGTAGTCTCTATGAGAAGTAGTATTTTGTGGAAAACGATATAAATTCAACAAACGACATAAGAAATTAAGTCTCCTTCTCTTAATTCTATTGAAAAAAAGTCTAATTGTGTTGTCAACTACCTTGAATTGAAAAATTTCTCAAATGAACTTTATTGTGCTGACTTTTTCTTCATTGGTACTTCTAGATAGTGAGAATAAGGACTTTCTATTGGAAAAAATGACAATTTCCCTCTGCTTTCCTAGATTGCAAATAAATCGCATCTGCAACAACTGATACTCCCGTCACCAGAGGAAATTACCCTTCTTTCTGCCATACAGCATTGAAGAGGAGACTTAAAGTAACAAATGCAGATGTGAGACAGGATTTGTGCCTAAAGTGGTGGAGGGCATACCCAGCAGAGGGAGATCCAATCTGATGCCCAGATGGTTAGTTTGTAAGGTTAGTTTGACAAAGCAGCAAATCACTGTCTTGATACCACACTAGCAGTGTGCTCTAACTGCAGTGATATTCCAAGCACTGGCAACCTGGAGACCCTGCCAAGAACGCTGAAATCTTTTCTCACCTTAGAGAGTATTATCTACAGTTAGAAATTCAGACGGAGTCCAGTGGAGGCCTGAATCAACAGGCCACATAAATTAAATCCACAGAGGATGCATCTGAAGGAGCAGAGATCCTGCCCAGTAACATATGGCACAGGGAGTCCTGGAACTGACCAGTAAGCAATGCCTCCAAAAGGCAGCTGGGGTGACTTACCGAGAGGAAAGCGTGGACAATATCAGCCTTAATGGAGCTTAGTGGTTTGTCCTTAATGACCACAAAAATCTGTTCTTCTTTCTCCAGGTTGATGAAGTTACCAAACCAGGATTTTTTGGCAAGCCTGACATGATGAAAGAAAGAGATGGTTTAGAATATTAAGCACTATTTCTTACATACCCCCAGCTAGAAAAAAATATTAAAAAACACACAATGAAGTTTTGATAACACTCCAGATGTGATACTATTACTAATAGTAAGTGGAAAAGTGTCAGAGAACACCCAGAAGAACATTTCACTTAGTGAAAACTGTTAAAACGACAGACCACACAGTGTTAGTCTGGCAGCGTGTGTGACCCAACAATGAAAAATCAGGAGCAACGTAACTCTTTTGACTGAACCAATATACCAATTAATACTGCATATATAAAGTGCATATAAGCCAGGGGACACATTTCTGGTTTGTCTCCAGGGATCTCTCCATTTCTTGTGACAATATGCAGATGCTGGTAACACAGAGATTTAAGTTCCTTCCCTCCCAATATCAACCCCTTTGGTGTTCTAGGACTTGGAAAGTTCCTTTTCTGAAGGTGTCCTGTTGGGCTGACAGTACAATCACAGGATCTTGCTTTTTAAAGCAAGCTGTAGGTTTCACTGGACCTCCAATCTGTCAGTGAGTGAAATCCACTCCTACGCAGAGGGCCAGGACAGAGACTGTCCCATCCATTAGTCCCATTCAGGGTGTCTATATAATGAGTGAACTCTGGCCACCCTACAAAAGAACGAATTTTCAGTACTAAGAGAGAAGATATCAACACCACGCAAAACACATTTCAGGCTTTCTGCTGACAGCAGTCCAACTTCGCAGTTCCTTTCAGTGTCAGATGGTGGTTTCATCATAAAATGAAATTGCTCTGGTTTTTCACACTGATCGTATCAGCACATGTTTGATTTTGCTTATTGTTTCACCATCTCAATGCACTTTGTTGACATTCCCTTTTAAGTTGAACAGGCTAAAGGAAAAATGCAGGGACATGAATGTTTTTGGGGGACACTACCCAGAACCTGAAGGCAGCACTCTGACAGGTGCGGTTTTGAGGGGAGAGAAGATGCTGTCAGCCATGAGATACAGCCAAAGAATTGCTGGACCAACCTAAACCCAGGGAAAATTCCACTGAAATCAGCCATATTCTAGTAGGGAAGAATTTAGCATGAAAATGTCAGAAATTAAAAGACCTGCCACCAAGAGACTGCAGTTTTTTTCCCCCACAGGATAGTTTATAATGCCATGACAAGTCCAGTTTGCAATATGGCAAGCAATAGGCTTTCACTTGTTTTGGCGGACATTCACCACTCAATGGAAGAAGACAACCTCTCCAGACAAGGAGAGCCATCTGCAAAAAGGATTACTATACATCAGCTTTCCAGCAAAGCAATAAACAGCTGGAGAGAGTTATTAGTAGATTACTTTCCATGACAAAGACTCAGACTGAAGCAGAATGAGGAAGGGCAGAGACTAGGAGAGAGAGGAGCAAACTAGGAAACTAATTTGAAGTCTAGACCTTCGGGATGAAGAACAAAGCTTGACCTCAGCAGCGTCCAGCAATTTGCACTCATTCCCCATTCCAGAGTGCTCCACGAATCACACAACTGTCGTCTCGCTGCCCAGTTAATGCACACAGTAGAAAGACCACAACTGGAAGACAGCTCAGCTGTGCAAATAATTATTTGCTTCTACTTACTGCAGGCGACCAAAAATAAGAGTACAGAAAGATTCACTTGCAATTTGATAAACCAGTGCCCCCCGCTCAATTAAAGTGGGCTGGAAAACCGTCACTCCCTAAAATATTCATAGGCAGCTGTAACTAAGCCAGTGAGCCAGAGTTTAGCGTAGGGAGCTGTAAAGAGAAAGGGCCTCTCATTTAAATGGGTCGTTAAGAAGCCAGGGTTAGAGTGTGAAAGGAAATTACATACTAATTAGCTCATGTGTCTCGCACACACCATAACAACTCCGCAAGCCCCTGGAGAGTTGGGGCAATAGCTCCCTGCATGTAAAGGGTCTATGCTCATTAGTAAATTAGCACCTGGTTATCCATCTACACCGGCTGGCTGTCTTAGGCTGGTGTGTATCATAAGCTGAACCATTGGCTATACGGACTCAAGGGGCCCAGTGTATGTCACACATGGAAGCTGCGCCTGGAAAAAGTGTGCATATTTGACTGCAGGTCTGCCACGTTAAAACATGGATTTTCATTTTTGTATTTTCACTAATGGTTTTGTTGGCCCTTCATTTATAGGTCTCTTAACAAGCACAGGTTAAAAGGGCCCCAGAACATAGGGAGGTTTGCTCCTGCTCAGCTTGGAGACTTGGTCAGGAGTCTCCAGAGTCCAGCTGGGCTCTCTTCTTTGGCAAGGTTATCGCCAGTAATACTGACTCTGGAAGATTCACTGATAGCCTGGGCTACACTCCAGCTTGTAAATCACTGGAATTCACTAAATAATTTTACTAGTGTCGCAGAAGATGGAAGAGATGCCAGTGGCCTCTCCTCTTTCTGGAATGAACAGAATCAAGACATAGCAGACATGCTCTGGCTTTTCTCCCTGAAATCAGCAGAACTAGCTGTGCTCATACACCCGGGGAACAGGTCCACTGAAGAAGAGGGGGCAGCTTTGGAGTAAAACGACACAATAAAGGTTTCCCTCCTCTTAGAGGGTGTCAAGTGCTACTAACTTGGGTTAAAATGGGTACGAATCAAGGATCCTCAGCACCCTGAATGAGATGCTCTAGCATCTCACCAGATCAGGCTATAAGCAGTAAAAAATGTACTTAAAAATAACAATCTTCTCTTGTCATGGCAAACCTCCTAAGGGGGAGGGAGATAGGAGATATGTGTGGGAGGCTGGGTATGGAGATTACTCTAGGGAATCTAATCAGGTGTCCAGCTGATGAAAAAGCAAATAGATTAGCATGAAAATGGAGGCTGGTGCTTTATTACTTCACACTGAATTTCTCACCGCTATAATGTTGTTCCTTTTGCTACTTTTGGAGTGTCTGACTGCATCGCCTTCTGGAGAGCCTCACTGTCTTCCCTAACTGTCCCTGAGCGCATGGATCTGTAACCTCCAGAGGTTTACCTGCTTGGCATAAATAACAGCATTTCTACTCAAGCAAATGGAGCTTTGCAGGTTTAAAGCACCCGGAGCTATGTCTCTTTAAATATCATCCCTAACACATTTTCTAGGACTTTTTCATATGAGAAAGAATAGCATTACCCAGACATGTCAAAGTGTATTACCTAATCATCAGGTTTGTTAAATGAATGGCAGTCATTAAAGAATGCTGTACCAGAGCAAGGACATGTATTTTTATTGCTCAACCCATGAGGTCAATACAGCTGTTGATAAGGATTTCTTATTTTTTACAGAAAGGAAGAAAATACTAGAAAAAATAAGACATGTGGAAGTGGGCACTGAGCAACAAGACATCTATCGTTAAAATATAATCCAGTTCATTATTTTTTATGACTTTTATTATGTTTACTGCAGGGTGCAGCCCAATTGAACTCATTAATTTGGCAATTATACAGAAAAAGAAAAAAGGGCCTTAGGCTTTGACTTGCATCCAAACGGCCTCAAATGACAGGCACTACTTCTCTATATCAGTTTTTAAAGAGTGAGTGGGAAGCACAGAAGGCAATAAATTAACAGAAAAACTTCCACCAACATACATGCATGAAGAGAATAGAAGAGAAGAGAAAAAATTTAATTCTGAAGGTTTTCTGCTTTAACGGCCTCAAAAACATCATATATGTGTTTGATAAGGATGCGACCATTTTATGAAATTCTCTCATGTCTCTCTATTAGTTAATGCTCCAAAGTGTTGAAAACACAATTTATTCAATTTTTCTTCCTGGATTTCTTTTACTAACCTTTACTATTCCCTACTTCTCCCTCTCCTGAAGTCTTTATCCCTCTCCATTCTACAGCATTAGATATAGAGTGCCCATCTTATACCAGATAAATGCCAGGTCTGGGGAAAGTTGTTAAGGCAATACCATTGTCACCAATTACAAAACTTTGGGCCCAAAATTTCCATCTACAACTCATGAATATTTCACACAAGCATCTTGACAAAAGACCAAATTGCCTTGGTTGGCAGGGTAAGTCTATGGGCATTGGGTGCGCAAACACAAGCTCTGAAAATAAAAAGCAATAATTTGGCATCTGTTGCATATATTAGGAAGTGTTTGGAGCAGCACTCTCTGGCAGGGACTTCCAAACCTGCCACGCGGTGACGCACATTTGTGCAGTGAAATGGCTGAAATGTACACTGACTTTTAGGAATGAGTCTTGTGAATATGAAACAGCTTCTGCATGTCCCAGTGCTGCTGCCCAGAATTAACACTGCGTTTACTATCGCAGCCAAAGATTCCTCTGAATTATCTTAGCAGAGGCTTCTGCATGTTATCCTGAAGATGCAAACTCTCCTGTGCTAAGAGGAAGACTTTTTAGTGCATAGTTAGTGCCAGTATAAGCCATTGATTATCCTCTCCACTCCCCAAGAGTGATCTGCTTGACAATCAAATGAAAGAAAAGAGAAGGAACGTGTTACAAACCTAGTAAATTCAGAAAGCCACGAGAAAATCAAGAAGTGGGCCCGTGTGAACCTCATG